GTATTAGCACTATGAAGATAAAGATCTCTAATATTGGTCAAGGATTTTGTGTCTTACTTATGTGGAGTGTATTTGTGTAGCTTTTCTTTTCAGCTAAAATTGTAGACAACTGTTAATTCAAATAGTACTCAAGTCCAAATAACACAGAAGTATTAATTTGCAACAGTACACTTTCACACTTACGAACTCAGGACACTGCTAGTAGTAATATTTGTGAATGAAAACTGCATAATTTACTATTCCAATCTAATTTGGACCAACGTTTGATAATTTGCACTTCCTTTACTGTGCTGATGTCCGGACTCAGAACTGGTGCTTTTATAGATGTGAACTTGGGCTTCCAAGAGCAAACTGAGGATTCCAAACTTTAGTTCAGAACCTCCCCATTTGTAGTGGTCACACATGGAGAGACCCATCAAGGAAGGGGAAGTGATGAGAAACTTCCTGAAATTCTTCTGAGTATGTTCGTTCCGTTCCCAAATGTAGGCATAGATACAGGAGGCTGTCATTAGTGTACCATGAACACACTGTTTCTGCCACCGAAGGATGATGCATTAGAGTAATTCTGTTTTTTGTAAGAAGCAGAGCTTAAAATAGAATGGTATGTAAGAATGAATCCTTTCTAAACATAAAGGCTTCTTTGTGTCATAATAAAGTACAGGGCTTTAAAAAGTTTTATTATTAATGTCCCTCATATATATTTTGTTCTTTTCATTGAGGTGGCCAACTTTATGATGTCTGGTTTTGTAAAAGCCTTTTTTCTCCTCCACCTTCCCTCTTTTGTTACTATTTTCCATTTTGTCTCATTTTCTGGTCAGTTTTAATTTTCATTTCCAGTGTCTGATTTTTTAATATTTTTTTAAATCTAAAGTATTTTATCTTCTTTTTGGGTCTATATTAATTCTCTGGAGTGCTAAACCTAAGAGAGGAGTGTTAAGAGTAGAGTGATCACCCTTGGCATACTTTATTGTAGACAAGTTGTTTGAACTGGTAACACTTGGAAAATGAAAGTGATGTATTTGTTTTGTTATTTCCATGGAAACAAGATATGTATAATGAGCTTCTGAAAACAAGTTACAAATATACACAAAGAAACTGATTCTTTGAAGCAATTGCTTAATAGAAAGAAATTAGTTCATTTGAGGGGGTTATGGTTGGGGGCTTTTGTGGTGTATTTGTTTTTTCAATTTAGCTTTATGACTTCTGAAAAACTGGTATTAGGAAGAGTTTTCTGAATGTGAACAGGGTATTAAAAATGCTGGAAATAAACTGGGGGTATGATTGCCTTATGTGTTATGCAGTGTTCATAGTGTTATAATTTTTCATACAATAGTTTGGGTTGGGAGAGGACCTTCTACAGGTCATCTAGTTGAACACCACTGCCCCTGCCACCTCCCTCCCTCTCCCCAGTGAGCAGGGACATATTCCATGAGACCAAGTTGCTCAGAGCCCCATCCAGCCTGACCCTGAATGTTCAGGGGCATCTACCACCTCTCTGGACAACCTGTTCCAGTGTTTTACCACCCTCCTAAAAAAATTCTTCCTTATATCTAGTCTGAATCTTCCCTGTTTTAGTTTACAATATTACCTTGTCCTATCACAACTGGCCCTGCTAAAATCCCTGCCCCCATCTTTCTTATAAGACCTCTTTAGGTACTGAAAAGCCGCAATAAAGTCTCCTGGAGTTTTGTTTTATCCAGGCTGAACAACCCCAACTCTCTCAGCTTTTCCTCATGGCAGAGATGCTACTTCCCTTTCATCTTCGAAGCCCTCCTTTGGACCTGCTCCAACAGTTCCATGTCATTCTCATGTTGGGAGCCCCAGAACTGGATGCAGTGCTCCAGAGGGGCAGAATCACATCCCTTAACCTGCTCGTCACTCTGCTTTTGATGCACCCCAGGGTATGGTTGGCCTTGTGGGCTGTGAGCAAACATTGCCAGCTCATATCCAATTTTCCATCTAATAGTACTTTGAAGTCACTATCCATAGGGTGTTTTTATGGATCTGAAGGGGGCTGATCCTGTGGCTTAAGAGTGTGTAAATTGAGGTTTGTTGAGAGACTTTCTCTGTCATTTCTACCTAGTCTGTTTTCTCCTATACATTCAACCCACGACTGTAGACAGAAGAGAGGGTGATAGCATGCTGTCCTGATTAACAATAATGGTGTCAGCAACTGCTCAGGGGTGTAGGATTGCTACTTGGTAATTTAGATGCTGGTACATAGCACATGTTCCATACCTGACAAAAAAAAAGACCAGAACACATGACTTAATCAAGAGTTATGTTCCTAGGGTTTTCCACAAGACTTGATGTATGATGCAACTGTAGAGTTTTTGAGTTAATTATGGTGATGTACAAGTGGGTTTGATAATATTGTGATAGATGGGGAGGAGAGTGGGGATATTTTTGGAGTCTAGAAAAAGATAATGAATTTCAAAATCAAAGCTACTTTATTTAGAAAACTTGGGATATAGTTGCAAAAATTCCTTTACTTTCAGTCCTGTTTCTAGTGTAATTCCAGTTAATGTTGTTTTCTGGTAAAGAATATCAGCCAGAGTGCACATTTCTTTTTCTTTTGAGGTCCAGCTGTAATACTACATTGGTCATATATGTGTCCAATTTGTTGGTAAACACCTTGAGTTGGAGGGAAAAAAACCCTCATTTCCTTGCCCCATGCAAATGACAGAGAAAAGACCAAATGTGAGAGATAGGTATACCTGTGTCTTGGACCAGATGTTCTTTGTTCCTCTCAGCAGCCTTATTTATGTATTTTTCCTTTTAATTAAAAAAAACCCAAACAAACACGCTCTTCTACTAATAAGTGTGCAACCAAAAATTCTTCATGTGTTAATAAAACCCTGAGATCAGTTCAGTTGGTTAGAGCATGCTGCTAATAATGCCAACATTGTGGGTTTGATCCCTGTATGGGCCCTTCACTTAAGAGTTGGACTCAATGGTTCTCGTGGGTCCCTTTCAACTCAGAATATTCTGTGAAAAATAAAAGAGTCAGCTTGAATTTCAGCACGTTTTGCTGAAAGTGATCATTCTCTTTTTTCTTGTGATGATCCTGACTGATGATCCAAGCTAAATCTATGTGCCACAGAAAATTACCTTTGAAACGTCTATATGGTAGACTTGGCCATAAATCTGTAGCGAACACGGGCCTTAGAGTGTTGTTATGCCGAAGTTTCGCAGTGATTGCTGGTGCTGTCTTTTTCTAAATGAGCGACAAACCAAAATGAAGTCTTGACCTCTTGAGCTGGTTAAAAGTTCTTGTATGTGTTTCATCAGAAGCGGGATGTTAGTCCTATTAATGAAAAGCCTGGAGAAATTCCAAGTAGTTAATTGCAGTTTATTCCATGTGTCTTTCTGATTAATGAAATACTGGATTATATTCTGCATTTTTACTGTTGTGATGTTCTTTTACTTGTTATGTAAAGCATTCTGTTAGTGTTGAATTTTATCGTGAATAACCAATTTCTCCTTATTTTGAAAGCCTGGGATAAAATTTTGGTTTGTGTTTAATTAATTGAAGTAGAGTCACTTCTAAGTAGGAATCATTTCTGGTGGTCTCTAAACCAGAAATCTCACTTCTTTTCATCAATGGAGGCACCCTTCAGCTGACAGGGACTTGACCACAGAAGGTGTCTAAGAGAAGATCAAAGATAAGTCGATGACAGATAGTTGAATTGCTCTTCACAGTGGCCTTTTTGACACTTGAAATAAAATTAGATTTCTATGCATAGTTTTTCTAGCCCACTATTTCTGTTGCCAGTGTACACTGTCTCTATCCTAGCATCTATTGCTTATTCCTACATAAACAGCTGTCACTGTTGAAAGGACTGGTCTGGGTTGTGTGGTGGTGGCTGTTTGGGTTTTTTTCCTGAAAAAAAAAATTTTGCTTGAAATGCTCTCTAAATTGGCATAAAAAGAAATGCTCAAGCAGCATGTGTAGTAGCATGTTTCCCAGCAACATGGACTCTCAAATATTACTTTGACTTTGAGGGTTTTGTAATGTTGTAAACATTTTCTGCTTTTAAAAATGGTCCTATTTAAGATTATATCAGTGTAAGTATCAAAACATCTTTTTGAAAATGTTTCTATTAAATTTTAGCTTAAAACATATGGCAAAATTTTGGAGTGTAAAGTCTTATCCAAAAGATCAGGGAATCTGTAATTTACTAATACAGAAACAGGTGTGGTTTGTGTCTGCTGTAATTCATAGAAAAGAAAAAATAGGAGTTTTTTTAATGGTGAGTAAATTCACTAATGCTGTGGCCTCATACCTGAATTTTAAAATGATGAGCACTAAATATAGTTCTGTATTAGGGAATAGAATGGACCAGTGTGTACTCTATAACATTATCTCCTGCCTAAACTGAATATTTAAAAATTCTAGAAAACAGACATGTATTAACCTGCTTTGGCTTAAACACATCTCTGTAGTGAATGCTGAGTTTCTTTGAGTTCCATCAGTTGAACCCTTTGGTCTGGCAGGCCAAAAAAGATCTGTGGGAATGACAGTATAAATTGGTGTTTGTAAAGTGTGCATTTCCTGTTGGTCAGATTTTGTACCATACACTGCTATAGCAAAATCCTCTCCACTTAAAGTAAATGTAAGCAAGTAATTTACTAATGTGGAAGCATGGTCTTCCTATTCGAGAAAACAACAGCAAGTATTCTGCTCTGAATTTCTGGGCGCTTTATGAGTTTATCAGGCTGCTATTGTGTTTTCCGTGCACCTGTGAATGTTTTTCGATGGTGATGGTCTAAGAAACAAAACAGGTATTGAATTTAAATGTGTCATTTAAAACATTTGTCAGTCTTTAAGACAGGAGGAATTTCAAGTTTTTAAATGCTTTTCAATAGTTTGGCATTATTAATTTAATTGTGAATACATGAATTGTTGTTCACTGTGGTAAACCAAAGCCATTCTGCTATTCTTGGAATGTTTTTTGTGCTCTCTTGTAATTTCTTTCAATTGCTGTTTGTTTCAACAGGGGAAAGTCCCTCAGAACAATTACTTTTGATCAGTTTAAGGAAGCTCTTCAAGAACTCGCCAAGAAGCGATTTAAAGGCAAGAGTGAAGAGGAGGCACTTCAAGAAATGTATAAACTAATTGAAGGAAAAGGCCCAGTTATATCTGGAGTAACGGTATGTTACTGATCTGATGGACAGACTGTTTCTACCTGTCCTTTGTTCCACTGCAGTGTTGTTGTATTCACCTGCTTCCCTTTACAATCCACAAATCCAATTCCTCTGGAAGCCCATAGGCAACAACTACTTCGAGCAAAGATTATGCAACAGCTGAGTATTGCACTGCTATGTATTCTTGTGTGGCACTGTCATTGCTTCTGCTCAGAATTGTAGTACCACCTAGCAGCACTGTCAGGAAACTTCTGAGCTCTTGTGTATGATTAGAACAAAGAAATGTTCATGAAGGGGGTGTATACAATTCAAAGAGAGTAGAAGGAAATTAAATTTAGAACCTCATTAAACAGTTCTAAGATGTTGTGTGAAATGCCAAAGACTAAAGACATAAAATACATTTAATTGCATCATGTGAATCCCAGAACACTGGAAATCTGAGAAAAATTATCATATGGTCTTTGTTTTTTGTTTATTCCAAGTCTGTCAGAACTATAATGTTCTTTCTTTTTCATTTTAAAGTATTGGTATTAAGCTTTATGTTTGAAAAGGAAGTTATAAAACCTGCTCTACATAAGTTTGTTTGTCCTTTTAAATGCTCAGGCTAGGCAAGCTTTTAGCCTGTAGGACATACTGGAGTTTTACCATCAGCTTGAATAGTTCTGTCAGTTTAGTTCATCTGCTTAAAATTTGTGATCCTCCTGAATTTTGGCTTTAGAATGGTGAATGAAAATATAATCTTTCCAGAAATCTGTTCTGTACAAATGATCCGTGTAAATGTCAAGTGGAAAGATCTCTTTTGAGTTATAGATTTGGTTCAAGTTCCAGACAGAAAACTTAACTATGACTACTGACACATTAATCTAAACATATTAGGGAAGGAGTTGAAAGCATGATTAAGTGAAGCTTGTGGATAAGAATACTTCAGCAGCATGTGGGGATTTTTGTGCCTTAGCTTCTTATTTTTTGTACTGGGTATTTTGGGGAGGCAGTTAGGGGAGGGCTTATGTCTGTACTGAGTGGCAACACTGCTTCAACAGGACAGCTGGAAAATTTACCTTCCTATGAGGATTTTAGTGTATGTTGTGATAGAAGGTATTTTTTTTTCTGTTTATTATTTTTCTTTTTCTTCGGAATGTTATGGAATTACAGAAATCCCTGCTTGATGTGGTTGAGAAGGCTCAGCAGCCAGACAGTGAAACCGAGTGAATTTTGGACTGCTTTCTAATGTGCAACAGAAGATGTATGGTTGGTTTGGTCACATAGGAATAAAAACAACAGAAAGTTATAGGGGTTAACGAATCTGGTAGCTTTATTAGCTCATTCGATCTGTCAATAAAATATACAGTGCAGGTCATGTAACTTTGACAGCTTATAATCAGACATAAATGAAGTCTAGGGCCTTTTAGTTATCCTCACTTCTACCCAAAGGTTACAAGAGCAAGACTGAGGTTCTTTCTTTTTCTGTACTAAAAGCTATGTGCCATAACAATATTGAATGCATTTCTACACCTCCTGTGGAACAAATACTTGCTTTGGTCATTGCTCGCTCTTAAAATGAAACCGGTTGAACTTCAATGTATATTCATCAGGGTCCCTGACATAGAAATGCAGAATAATTTCAACTGCAAGAGACCTGGGTTGATGTCATTCAAACCTGCTGACAGGATGGCAAACTTCAAATCCAGATCAGGGTATTTGGGGCTCAATCCAGTCACATTTGCTGTGAGAGTAGTGTGGGTGGCAGGGCAGTACAGCAGTGACAGCACTTTAAAAGCTAGGTGATGGGTGCTTAGGGTAATGGTGATGTGGGCAAGATCGAATTCTCACAAAAATGGACCTGTTAGGGAAAGAGTGCAGCCCACAGAGTGTGGTAATGAGATAAAACAGGTGTTGCAGCAGAAGTGCAAAGAAGCCTAGAAATTCCACTTAAGGCTATGTGGATCTGCTTGAAGACTGTACAGTGGTAGTCTGAAAAAGCTGCAGGATATACTGTTCAGCACATGGACATCCATTAGTAGAAGTCTATAGGACTGCCATTAGCACATCAGAGTCCTTGGCTCTATAGGAAGGAGTCCTATATCCAGGTCCTGTGCTTCAGAGCTCCTGTGTCTTCCTGGAGGTCATGGCAGTGGTTGCCTCTCTTGTGGGAAATGTGCTGTGGTCAAGACCCTGAGGCTCCAGATTGACGGGAAAGATGAAGAGAAGACTGACATTGTATTTGTGGAAAACTCAACCTACACAAGGTGAGGAAGGAGTGACAGCTAGAGGAGACCAAGTGGATGGAGACTATGGAGATAGAGAAGGCTGGGAGCTTGTGACTTCTGGCAAGTCACAGATCTATTCCACCTACAATTCTCCAATTTCAGAATACATATAGTATTCTAGGCACTGGTGAGTATCAACAAGACCCATCAAAGTCAGCTGAGCCTGAACTTAGTGTTCACACAAAAGGGAAAAAATGAGTGATAGTGCCAACCAACACTATCTCGCTATGGGGACAGACAGGTTCTTTTAAGGATCCTTGGTGGAATGAGAACTAGCCACAGGTTTGTAGTTATAATTAGAGCTTTATTACTGTAGAAAGATTTTTTTCATTACACTTAATTTCTAGCAATTAGGATAGCTTTCATATTATTACCTAAATTGCAGTTACCTATACTTTTCAGTCACCTGAACACTCTGCAGATCAGGTCAAATTCTTAATAATCAGTGTACAATATAATCATCATAATCTGGACTCTAACTTTAAAAAGTATGTAAGAAGAACAATGGTAGAGGGAGTGTCATGATTGTCTAGCCTACAGTGAGGTTCCCCCCACTCTGTTTCCTCTTCTGCTGAGGTGTGAGTGTCCCCTGTAGAAGGACAAAAGCCTTAGCAGTCTGTCTGCTCTAGGATCTGCTTCAAAAACCTTTTGGATAAGCTGATCTATTTGTACCTCTCAGTCTGGGCCTTTGGTCTATACAATTTCCTCAAGTTAGTGGATTCTGAAGGGGCTGCCAGACAATCAGTATGCAAGAATTTTGGCTGCAGGTGGCGGAAGGTTGCAGGTGATAATGACTGCATGATGATAGTTATCTCTTCCAGTCCATTGAGTACTGCCTACAGCAGTGCTAATGGTGCTGCTCCCATCATATATCAGGCCTTAGCATGAGCTAAGCATGAGCATGTGTTAGCCGAAATCTGAAAAGGAGTTGAGTGAACAGTCATGGGAGGCATCCCTGACTACCAAGGGATCACGACTTTTGCCATTCTGAATATGAGCATCTCGTGCACTATTACACTTCCTTGTTCTGTAATGGGTGTCACCATACTCTGGCAACAGTGCTGTACCAGGTGTCAGAAGCAATGGGTACCCGGCACAGGTAGTTACTGAAGATTCCTCTTGTGGATGATCAGGGTATGTATTTTCTCATCTCACCTGATGTCTCAGGGGTTTTATTGCTTGGTGGATACCAGGATCTGAGATTGTTGCAGATGCACTCACAAGATTTGTTCAGCCTTCTAACACGGACCTCTTTGTTGTGGGTACCAGGAGTACTGCTCTGGAGGTAACCTGGAACATATAAAGAGAGACTACAGAAGTCAAGGGATGAGGGTGTAGAGGGGGGAGCTCTGATCTTATCTTCCCCAGTCCAGGAAGGAGAATTGGACTGTACAGTATGGCTTGTGTTGAAGAGGAAGCTTTGGCTTCTGTGGCCAGAGGAATGAGACCTACTGAGCAGGGATGGAATAACTCTACTGAAGTGTAGTATCTTTACAAACTAGATTTACTAATCTGCTGGGAAGATTATTAGACTGGGTATGGAAGGTTACCATAATCTGAAGATAAAAGATCATAAGGGGCAGAGCAGGTATGTCTAGGTGACAATCCCGACAAAGGAGGTTCTTACCCATCTATAAATGCAGCAGGACATGAGGCCCATCTCAAATGCCTGCACACAAAAGCAAATAGCATGGGAAAAGCAGGACAAATTACTAACCTCACTGAGATTCTGCAAGTGTGGTAAGACAGCTCTCCTGGCTGGAGTGCTGCACTGGATGAATAGAGACCCTTCAGGAAATACAGAGGAAAATGAGGAAGAGGGACTGTGATCTATGTAAAGGTTTATCTTGATAGCATCTGGCTTTGGAACAAGTCTCATTAAAGACTGGTTATAACATTAAATTCAAGGATTCAGCAACACAGCCATTGAAAAAAGGATTACTCTGTGCTATCTTCCCTATTCTGTTTTGTCTTCACTATCAGTAAGAATGTAAAACTCCTCAGAGAAGTGTTAACACATTTTTTTCAACTTTGTGGAAGGTCATGTTAATCAGACTGTTAGATCCCATGATTTGTAGTGGCTTGGAGTGTTGAAATGCTGGAGAGCTGGAGTTGAGGGCTAATCTTAGAGGGAAGGTCTAGGGTTAGGGTTGGACAGCTTCTGTGTATGTGTGTGTCTGTGTATGTGCTAAAATGAAGGAACATGAGTGAAATCTCAGTTTTTCTTTGAACCTTGATCTCTCTTTCTGACTTTGTGCAGATTTTTACTGCATGTGTATGTATTCCCATGAATTTAAAACCAAAATAAATATAATTGTGGTATGGAGCTCTGGTATAATCCCTCCTCCCCTCAAAAGGAAAACCTTTCCCTTTGAGATTTTTTTCCCCCCATTTCATAGTCAGCTTTAGGTTATCATTTTTGCAAAGGTTGTAGATGTTAGCAGCAGATCAGTAATTTTCAAGACCTTGCTAAGATTACGAGTGTTGGGCTGATTCTGAAGGATCTCAGAACATGTTAATTACATAAAGAAATCTCCATGGCAACTTTTTCTAGGAAGACATGCTGTTAGATACTGAAGTTTTATGGTTGAAGGAGAAAATGCAGGAACCCATTCAGTTTCTGTGAAGAACTGAGGAGGGGTATCTATCAGAGTGTAGCTAGTAGTGGTATCTGTCAGAGTGTAGCCAGGAATACCATGGAGGTATTCCATCTGAGGATGTGTACCCTTCTGGTGAAGA